GTTCTTCTAGGCGACGTATGCTGAATTCTCTCGCACTAATTTCTCCAGACTTCCCTTCAAGTTTCTGAGCACTGATTCCCTTGGAATATTTATCGGCCTAACCGGAGGGCTGCCTCGCGAGACGAAATTTTCAAGCCTCAGAAGGACCAGTCCCTGGAACGAACCCTGCATTCTTTGATATGTAAACTAATAAACACCCTCTTACTGCGTTTAGGAAAGCTCCATCATTTGACGCACTAGGCTGTGGTGGAATATACCAAAATTTGGGACTATTTTAAAACGACGAGAGACGAGTTTCTATGCTGGTCACAAAGACATTAAATATTGGAAGACCTTGCCGTTTGTACAAATTGTTCGTTGTAGCGTTATCATGCCTCGAATATAGGAATGAATGAGAAGGTAACGAAGAAGTCCGTGGGTAGGTCTTTGCCTGGGTAAATTGTTATGTATATTTTAGGAGTGAAGAGAAAATTATCTGATGGTTCTAAACCGAAGGTGTCAATAAAAAAGCGTAGGTATCCTCATAGTAACCCCCATACACAAAGGAGGATCAAGACAAAGCCCTTCAAATTACAGGCCTATCAGTCTCACCAGCACTATAATCAAGACACTGGAAAGAATTATCAAGAAAAGCATCATAGCTTATCTGGAAAATAGCAGCTTGTTATCTGGAGCGCTCTATTTCACGTGTAAAGTGGCATAATAAGTGAGCAATATTGAGGTTAGGCATCGGTCGAGTGCTAGGTAAGGAGGGGAAATCAATAGACGAGGTTGTGAAGTTACATAGACTGAGATGGTTAGGACATGTGTTACGTATGCCTAGTCATCGCCTTCCTCGACAATGGGCAATGTCAGCTGATATAGGGTCAGGCTCGAAAAAAGCTAGTGGCGGTCAAACAAGAACATGGCACCAGTCAATGAAATCTACAACAGTTAGTTTAAGCCAGTCACGTAGGAAGGTGTAGACTTCCTGACTGATTGGAGTCGTCGGGACGGTAAGAAGCAATGGTTGGAAAGAATTGGTGACTTGGCTCAAAATCGTTCTTAATGGCTGGCACAGATTCATCCACTCCTTGTGACTTATGATTTCCAATGAAACTGTTTTGTTCTTCGTTATTACTATTCCTTTGTCTTACACCTCTGTTTGCTGTCTCTACTATGCAAAGTTCTATGTCGAAAAAAGACAGCCATATGCACATTGGATCATAGGAATTATTAAAAAGATGGTTACAGTGAAGAAAATTTTCCTTTTGACGAAGTCATCAACTAGACAGCTGTACATTCATGTATTTATACAACATGAGTGAGAAAGTTCCAGGATTATTTCTGGTCACAGATCAGATTAATAAAATTATTAAGTGCTATAAACAGAAGATAAGTAGTGGTACTATTCTAGAAATATTTTAGGTCAAAGGTCAAGTTAAAAATTACAATGTGCAATAATCAGGGAGATCGTCAGTTTGCATAATTAGGGAATTAGGATGTAGTATTAACGAAATGGGTAGGAGGTTCGGACATATGAAGATAACGATAGTAATTAAATCAAATAATGCAGATAGGAATTCAAAAAGGTAAATATAACAAATAAACGGGAAGGTTGAACAAGAAAGGTAATAGGATAATCATTATAGGCGAGGCTGACTTTTCATGATGGCGACTACAGGGACAACGGTTGGACGTATTTCTTTTGGGCACATAGAATAGGCTTGAGTTTTTGAATCGCCAGTGCCTCAGCTATTCGTATCATGTCTTGATTTCACTCATTTTGGTAGGTTGGATCGGATCTTGTATATGGCTTTGAAAGACTTTTCAAGTGGGACTGAATGTCCCGAATTCACCAGATATCCTGTTATCGAAGTGCATACCCCCATTGGGTTCTCCTTTTGCCAACCATGCTGGATAGTGTTTTCGCGCGCATTTTACAAGCAGACGCATGGTACGACCAATGTACTCAGCTCCACACGAGCAAGTGAACTTGTATATGCATGTTGAAGTGGCCCAATGCGACAGCTTGTCTTTCACGTGTTGGGTGAGTAGTTTCTTGCAGGAGAATGTTATTCTTAGGCTGACGGTGAAGTATGTTTTACTGAGAGACTTCGAAAGCCGTCTACGGGGAAGTTCTGCTTCGGTATGACTTTTAAATTCGAGGTTCAATATCAGCATCTTTTTGGGGCGATTTGGACCTTTTCAGGTGTTTTCTTTGGTTTTAGATTCTTCTTTGTGAATCTGGGTGGGAATGGAATTTCTATCCAGGTCCCTCGGAGATTTCGCAATTCTTCAATGATTGACTCTTCAGTGCAAATCTTCCGGATCCTCGAGGAAAGAGAGTATATTAGGTTTCTCTTTCTGCTTAGAGGCACACACCTTTGAAAGTTAATAAATTGTCCGTCCCACCTTGATATTGGAGAGCGCCAGCCAATGTGACTACGACTTCTAGATATCAATTCACAGAGTGCACCGTAATGGCTAATCTCCTAGGTTGTTGATCCTACTAGTTACTCTCTCCAGTATCAACTAATATAATATATACTGGTCTTTTGCTTTAGATTGAGAAGATTTGTAGAGCTCAGGTGGATGATTTTGCTGTGTTCTCTGAGCTGGATAGTTAATTTGCGAAGCTTTCATCGCCCTACTACTTACACACTTACTTACCTACAAAATTTACTTCGTTACATACTTACTTAAATACTTTACTTAATCAATAAGTTTCTTGCTTTAATTAATTACATACTTAGTAAATTCCTTACTAACGCACATACTTTACTTACTATAATTACTTACATACTTACCTACTTATTTATTTGCTAACTTAGTTACCTACTTACTTTAATTACTTACTAACCTACTTTACTTACATAGTTACTTACTTAAATATTTACTTTCTTACTGATATGTATCCACATGATGTGTGTTTTGTTTTTGACAGTCTATTATATTTTGCTATGTGTATATGCATCAATATTCCATTATAACTGACATTATGCTTTTGTCTGTCCACTAACTAAATAAACAATGTATGACCTTATTATCACATGACATTCCAACCAATCATGGTAAGACGTTATCGTATTGGTTCATGTGTATTAGCCATTTTCATATATACTTTTGTATTAGACACTTGTTCATTCTTGTACACACACCTTTTCGTACATTACGTACCATTTCACTTGCACACTTGTGTGACAATTATTTTCCTTGTCTGGAAAATACAAGTATCATCGTAAACCTCGTGGTCTTCTGATTTCCCTCTTTCCGCGTCAGGACTATTAACTACTCGACGAGTACATAACAAAAATTGGCGACGGGGAAAAAAACTAATAACTCACTCAGCAGCAGTACATAACACTTACTTACTTAATTTGAACTACTTATTTAATTACTTACTTACGTAATTACTTGCTTGCTTACTTACTAACTTAGTTTGCTTACTTACATATTTACTTTACGTACTTACTTAGTTAGTTACTTAATTACTTACATAATTACCTACTTATTTTACTTACTTCGCAAATAAACTATCCAGCTCACAGAACACAGCCACATCAAATCTGTCTTTCTGTTTTCGACATAGAACTTTGCACAGATGTGCCAGCCATTGAGAACGATATTGATCCATGTCACCAATTGTTTCCAACCATTGCTTTTTACCGTCCTGACGACCCCAACCAGTCAGGAAGTCTACACCTTCCTACGTGACTGGCTTAAACTAACTGTTGTAGATTTCATTGACTGGTGCCATGTTCTTGTTTGACCGCCACTAGCTTTTTTCGAGCCTGACCCTATATCAGCTGACATTGCCCATTGTCGAGGAAGGCGATGACTAGGCATACGTAACACATGTCCTAACCATCTCAGTCTATGTAACTTCACAACCTCGTCTATTGATTTCCCCTCCTTACCTAGCACTCGACCGATGCCTAACCTCAATATTGCTCACCTTATTATACCACTTCACACGGGAGATAGAACGCAAGCATCTATGCTCAAAGACAGCTAGTTTTTTCACGTCTTCCACTCTCAATGGCCAGGTCTCAAAGCCATAGAGGATGATGGAACGGACTCATGAGCAGTACACACGCCCTTTGATCGATAGTCGGACATCTTGTCTACACCAGAGACGGCGAAAACTGGCATATACGAGACTAGCCCTGTGTATCCGTACTCAGCTGAGATTTTGTCAGAGATTAACCCGTTGGGGCTGGTTGATGGTACTTCCCAGATAAGTGAAGTGGTCAACGTGCTCTACCTATTCACTTCCTATTTCTAATCTAGGAGTCGGTGTAGTCCAATGCAGTCCTGTAACATCATCCTACATTTGGCGGGAGCTAATCGCATGCCAAACATTCGTAGATTGCAGCTCAAGGTGTTTGTTTAGAAGACTCTGCTTCATTTTGTCAGCGTCCTCGCCCAGAAGCAGGACTATGTCGTCTGCATATTTTAAGTCAGCGAGATCAAATACTGGTCTTTTGTTTTGAATGACACTCTTCCTTTCATGAAACCTCCGAACTTCATGAGTATAACTCTGAATACCAATTAACCAAGTACGTACAATAAATGGATATTAGGAATGATAAGCAATATCTTTTTCTTTTATGTTAGTGTACAGAGAGCAGTTGACAACAATCGATTGACTTTCGATTGTTTTACAAAAAGATAAATCAGTGAGAACACAATCAGAAAGAAAATTTAAAATTAGTATACAAAGATAGAGAAAAGAAGCAATATTATCAATAATAATAATGATAATAGACAATAGTATGAATTTCTCCCTGGGAAATTACAAATAGTAATAACAATAAGTAAAAAGCCAAAGGAAAATACAACAATATTAAGCGAAAAAATTAGATTAACGAAAAGATCCGCTGTCACATCGGTTTCCTTTCTTAATGGAATAAAAAAGTTCATCATTTATTATCACATGAAGGAGGAGAGTGTGTGTGTAAGAGAGAGAGAAAGATCGTGACATTTAATTTGATAATGAATGAGGTTATTCACATCATTCACAAGTATCCCATTGAAGATATCTAAAATTTAGAAGAAGAAAAAGTAGATAACAGAGAAACATTTTATTAACGTGCTATTTCGTGTGGAAGCGATAAATTAATTGTATAAAATCATGCAGCCTACAGTCACTGGCAAAAACTGGCGAAGAATCATATTTCTGTCCACACTAAACAAAATATTTTGTCAAGTATTGGTTTGTAGGGATTTGGTTGATTGGTTACAGGATTTCATCATGAGCTGACATTAGTTAAAGAACCACTGGGAGTACTGGACAGCTGTTTCGTCCTGGTTTGAAACTCTTCAGCAGCACACACCGGCGACTGGCCCTATTCAGGTGGGTAGTTACTTGGGGTTCCAGTGAGAAATCGTGACCAGTTGGGCGTAGCAGGTCGGGTGTGAGGACAAATACTCGCCGAAGACACTGACTGGCGGTTGCGCTATATCGTGAATTGGCAGAAGTTGGAATTCATGGACTGGCCATTGGATCGGGTCCGAGCGGCTTAATGGTATACGAGCTCGCTAGCCTCGTAACCGGAAGGTCCTGGGGGCGAACCCCAGCGGTGGGTGCGTATTGATGAAGAGCCACAGACTAGGACGAAACATTTGTCCAATACTCCTAGGTTTCGCAATGGTTCTCTAACTGATGTCAGCTCATGATGAAATCCTGTAACGAAAATATTTTTTTTAATTTTATTTTTGATTACAGCTTGATTCCACGCTGTATTTTTGGTACAAGTATGGAATTTTCAGCATGGATATCCGTAGCCCGAATTTCGCAGGCCAACCATAGATATCAAGTGTGCGTCGGCAGGAGATCGGACCATGTGCATGGTCGGCGAGAGTCCTAACCACTGTGCCACCCACGTACAATATTAAGTAGCGTCATCCTAGAGAGACTAAAAGATGCTTTAGACACACAACTCCGGCCCACTCGAACCTAAGTGGATTTAGGAAAAGCAAATCATATATATAAATCAATTTGCAGTGCTACGCATCATCATCATCATCGAGAAAAGCACTGCATGGTAGTCAAATGCCTGTCTATCGCCAGAGTTGTGAAGTTTCAACCAGTGAGATGGCTGACCAGAATGTGTGTTAAACATGCTAAGACATCGACCTTATCAACAAGCTTCATGTTAGCTGGAAAAGAGTTCAAGATGGTCAGGTCAATGCAAAACACAGTATTATTTCCAAAATTTAGAGGTTCTATAGCCAACAAACTGTATAGTTCTTTGTAAAAAAGAAACTGTCAGAAGACATAAAACACGTCAATGTTATATACCGAATCGGGGTCAGAAAGAAAAACAATAACAAAGCTTAACCTTGAGGAACTCACCAACCAATCACAGCAAACTTAACGTGTGCAAATACAATTCACGGATATATATGGCTTAACTTTCTGAGAAACGGTCACAAGCAGTGTAGAATAACCTTCACCGGGAAAACAACCAACCAGACGAGGTTGTTTCTCCGCTAACAATAACGCTAATCATAATGTACATAAAAATCCATAAATATCTCTTGATTTCCTCAATAAAGAATCTATTGCCTGGCCCTGGTCTTCTGTCGTTACATTTGGTGTCGTTGCCTGTCGACAAATGGAAAGCCTATGCCCTACAGTTTTTGATGGGCACATATGGATCTTCGGGCAGGACTTCAAGGCTGTTGCACAGTTAAGTGACGTCAAAGATCCGTCCACAATGGGGCTGTACTTGGAACGCTGCTGCTGGGAGGTCAGGCGAAAGCGCAGCATATGAAAGTGTGAGGAGAAACAAAATGTAACGACAAAAGACGAAGGCCAGGCGACAAACAGATCGTTTATTGAGAAAGTCAACAGATATTTATAGATTTTTATGTATATTATTATTAGCGTTATCGTTGGCGGAGAAGCAACCTCGTCTGATTGATTGTTTTCTAGCTTGCAGGTTATTCTGTCATCTCTTTGTTGCCGTTTTTTAGACAGTCCGATGATATATCTGCTAATCATATCCGCCTACGCTAAGTCTGCTGTGATTGCTTGTTGAGTTCCTCAAAGTTAGGCTTTGTTCTTGTTTTTTTCTCATGACCCCAATTCGGGACGTAAACATTGACGTAAAACGCTGTCTACCAATTTTTGGGTTGCAGCCAGCAGCTATCACCAGCACAACCTTACCTTAGTGATTGATGTTATTCTCATAATTAGATTTTTAAATGAAGCATAATTATATAATAGAAAGATACAAATTAGTGTAGACAGTTGGAAGCCTGTTTACTGGTCCTCGTCAGCAAGGTGTATTTCTAAAACTTTGAAGGAACTGATATCCCTTTGTGAGGTGCTAGCCCACGTCACTACTCAGTGCTACATTATTCAGCGAGACATTACCACTGAGCCTATTTTTTTAATAATAATATAATAATAATAATAATGATTTACTCTATTCCAAAAACGGTACTTGTGATACAGAATAGAATTTTCAGCATTAATCACAATATTGCATCTAATTTCCTCAAATTATAAATAAAAATTAATCACACAGAAAATTTTTCACATTTACAATAGAGGTAGTGTCAAAAACATGCAGCATATAAAATGGAAATAGCAATAGTAATGATAATCGCTAAGGTAATATCAATGATACAAGTGAAAAATTGAGGTGGGCTTTCTACACAGAGCATTGTCAATGCGGTATAGAAATCCTAACATGTTTAAAAATATTGAATATAATGTTCTTACTACATGATATGGTGAGGGGAAAAACAAAGATTACAGCAGCCATAGAGATAAGTTGGTGCTTGCAATTATGAGAGTAAAACAAGGAAGCAACAGGACTATAAATATAATAGAAATAATAAAAGTAAAACTTGAAGGTATATAAGGATGGATAGAGGAAATTGTTTATTTACTAGATGAAAAAATTTTGGTTAGTTAATTCTTGCCTGACTCTATTTTCATCACATAAAATACGTGCCAAGTATGGTATCATAGAATTTCTATACTTAGACGTGTGAGCAAACAGTTTTCTGAAGTTACTTCTTGTTCTACCTGAGGAGATGCAAGGTGAAAGCTGAGGGTGGATGCTCCAAGTCAGACAAAATCCCTCTGGCAAATTTATTGCACGAAGTCAAGTGCCTATCGACAATGACATTAACTATGTGGTCCACTGGGATACCACTCACCCTACAGACCGTCTTCAGCATTCTACGAATTGTGACATAGTCCTTTCTAAGCAAACCAGGAAAGAATAAGGGTGAACAATAAAGAAGAATAGGTAGGATGCAGGAGTTTATGAACTGTAAGAGTAGGGGTTGAGGTATACCCGAGTGTCTTAACTTCTTAATGTAAAATGTCAGGCGGAATATTTTACTGGATATCGCTAAGACATGGGAAGTCCAGGAGAGATCAGAAGAGAGAATAAGTCCAAGGTACTTAATTTCTGATTTGATTCCTATATCATTGTCGTCAATCTTATAACTGTCATGAGAATCTATGACTTCTTTTAACTGTTTTTTTACATCTTAAGCTGAAATTAACAGTTTGACATTTAGAAGGATTCAGTTTAAGACCGTTAGACTCAGACCATTTACTGACTCCCGACAGAAAGCTATTTATTTTGGTACAATCTAGCTGGGAGTTAACAGCCATTGAAACTGTTAAATCATCAGCGTACTTCACAAAGTTTATTTCATCAGAGTGAGGCAAGTCATGTAAGAAGAAAGAAAAGGAGAAAGGACAGCGCCTTGAGAGACACCAGCTTCAGTAGGCAATGAAGTGGAAGACTTCCCTTTATACACGGTGTACTGCTTCCTTTCTGAGAAATAGGAATGTAACCAAATACAACAGCCCAACATTGTGTTTGACTTGCAGCAAGTTTATTTAATAAGATGTCCCTAGGGACCGAGTCAAAAGCAGATGTATAGTCCAGGAAGGCAAAACGAACAAATTTAGCCCCCTTGTCTAGACTGGAAGGAATGCTATGATATAGTGTTATGATAAATATATTGGATCTACCAATTGACTAGATATAAAGTACCACTTTAGATGGATACCGGAACGTGTGTTTTTTCATAACAATCATGCACTAATGCCTGAAAACTCATCAAAAAACAGTTCGACAACACAATACAGTACAACAACAACAAAAAAAACGCCAACTTATCACAGTAGCTACTCACCTTGACAAATAATCTTCTTCTATATCTTATAAAAAAGGGGTTGAAGGAAATTTCTTTTTTTTTAAGGTTCTGTTGAATCAGAAATAACATTTTGTTTGCAAGCTGATTGACTGGTTACTACTACTGACCTGTCTGTACAATGATCATGATCATGAACATCATTACCATCATCTGTTGAATAATGACAAGTATTCACTGTTGATAATATTTTATTATCATTTGACCCATTTATCAGCGAATCAGGCGGACAACAAGACTGTTGGTGTTGATGATTATGCGATGGATGTGTATTCAAGGTGAGTAGACGCATTAACAGTTTGTCGTTTTGTACACCGCTAATAAATTCATCCAATGAAAGACGATCATCTCTGTCTAAATCCATCAGTTGAAAAATTTTCTCTGTTCGCCTTTCTGGTGTAGCTTCAGAGTCGTTAAATTCAACAGCTGATCCAATCATTGCATATATTGCCTAGGTGAGAAGAAAACAAACAAACAAAATAAAATAAATAAAGGTTGATACCACAGCTGAGATCCTGAAGAATCGCTTAAGCAGATCACTGAGGAAAGCCTGCTTTATGGCTGAGTTACGTATCAATTTCTACAGCCGATAAATGATCAATGGATATGTGAAGGATAAACTGGCGCTTTGGATGGGCCACTTCAATGTGTGTTTATAAATTAACCTGCTCGTGTGGAGCTAGTTATATTGACCACACAAAGCGCACGCTTTCCAAACGCATCTCTGAACATTATCCGGCATGGTTAGCAAGCAAAAAGGACAATGCAAGACAATTACTAGCTCAATTCTCGAGCATTTGGTGAACTCAGGTCACGTAGCTCCACCAGAGTCGTCTTTCAACATCATCTACAAGGTGAGGCCAAATAGTACAAAGGGTGTCAGGTTTCGACTTCCTATCAGAAAAATATGAATGCAACCACTTATTTGTCTAGCTCTCAGCCTGTGTTGCAGCAAGCTTACTTATCAAGAGAGACCTAAGTAGAGTCAAATGCAGATGTGTAATCAAGGAAGGCACAGCAAACGTATTTAGCTCCTTTATCTAAACTAGAGACTATACTATGATGTAGGACAACAGCTTAGATTGCAAAAAAGGAAAACAATGTGATTCAAGATCATCACGAGAATGCCGTAAAGTTAAAAGATAAAACAAAATGATACCCTATAGGATAGATCGTGATTATTTTGAAGATAAGAAAAACAACAACAGGGTGATTGTCCAACATTTAGTCTAATCCCTAGGCAAAAAATATTGTTTGAAAAAGAAGGCTGTAAACAAATTGTTTGATTTTCAGGTTAAAATGTGGACAGCGATCTTGATAAGTTTTGTTTTGCTTTTCGTTTATCACACACGCACAGAAACGCAGAAACACATGTGACAAGCTACAGTTACAAATCACAGGCATATGTAGGTTGGAGAATAATAAAAAACGATTGGAATTAAACGTTTTGATATTTTTCAAAATAATAAAATAACCATCAAAATAAACAGCTTTTGAATAAAATCGTGAGAAGAACAACTTTTGTAGGATGGATACGATGATTTCATTTTGTTTCATATATGAAGGTTTTCATCAGCTGTATACAACGTGAATAATACTGGCCATTTCTATGTGCACATATCAGTTCATCTGTTGTTGTGGAGCTAGATGCACCTTGATGGTTCAATGCGTATCCTGTCCAGATGGAATCGAGAACGCTATCCTAAATGGCTGCAAGAAGGTAGTAGTGGCTGGCTCTATAAGGAGTGCGATCATCAAACACCTCGACAATATTAACCATTCCATCTCAGTAAACGCCTCCTTCCAAGTGATCTACAGAGTCAAGAATAACCTTCTGGAGGCAATAAGCCTTCGTTCCCTTTGTCTTGCTGAAGCCTTGGTCATTCAGTTGGAAAAACAAGAGTTATGTATACAAAAAGAAATCATTCAACCAGTTCTACTATCATGGCAACAACTGTATCGATTTCTACTAACTGCTTTTCTAACTCATCATAACTCTTGCATTTTCTCACTACTCTAGTCATCGCCTTCTTCGACGGGCAATGTTAGTTGACATAGGGTCAGGCTGGGAAAGAGATAGCTAGTGGCGGTCAAATCAAAACATAGCACCAGTCATTGAAATCCACAACAGTTAGTTTAAGCCAGTCACGTAGGAAGGTGTAGACTTCCTGACTGGTTGGGGTCGTCAGGACGGTAAAAAGCAGTGGTTGAAAACAATTGGTGACATGGCTCAAAATCGTTCTCAACGGCTGGTGCAGATGCATCCACTCCTTGCGACTTATGATTTCCAATGAAACTATATTGTTCTTCGTTACTACTATTCCTTTGTCTCACACCTCTGTTTACTGTCTCTATTATGCATTTCATTGTACTTTCTTCTCTTGCTTTGTTTGGTACATGGAGTGGAGTGTGGCGACTTGAACTTTGCGCATCGGTGCAAAGTTCTATGTCGAAAACAGATAGATAGATAGATAGACATAAAACCATATTTTCTTTCGTTTCTATGCTCATTCTAATCAAAACTCACTCCCTCACTGAATTATTCATCTTATTACGCAACTACAATACACTTAATCAACTTCTCATATGCATTGACTAACATTGACAACTCATCACTACACCTACTACTACCATCATACTAATCTTCACTCCTCACTCCCACCCTTTTTAATTACAATTTGATTAATCATCACATCTTTTGAAATATCTTGATTGCGTAAACAACAACCTGAATTAATTTTTTTGTCTGACAAAGCTAATCTACACACACACATACAAAAATAATTATACATAATTTCACAGTTGTACAGCTAAGTGAATGAACTTGCCGCCAGAAAGAGACTCTTCGCTGAACTATGCATTTTGTTTTTCTATACAAAAAAGAAGACGAAATTTGCAGTATAAAATGATGCCATCATTCTATCTCACAGGTTATCATCAGCTGCTGCAGACTACCTGAAATTACAATGGTTATATAGATGATAATAACATACTTTAATGCTTGAGTGGTAGTAGAGAAGAGATACTATAAAATTGACGCATCCAAAATGAAAGCAGTATTACAATTTATTTAGTTTAAGATTTCATCATCAATTTGTACGCTTTTAAAGTTGGAAAGAGGGGGGAGGGAGGGGTAAGAGAGAAAAAAGAAAAAACTGATCAACAGAATAGTGTTAGCTTGTAGGTTCACTGATCTCAACTCACTGAACAAATCTTAATCTCATAAACCGTAACCGCTTTCGTTTTTTCAGTTGCTATGTTAACCTACAAGCTAACATTTTTCTATTAATTAATTTTTTCTGTTTTCTGTCTTAACCATCCCCATCTTTTCAACTTTAAAAGCGTACAAATTGATTTTCTATAGTTTTGGTTTGTAAGGATTAGTTATGTTTTACGAGTTGATCACGGATTGATATCAGTTAGAGAACCATTGAAAACCAGGGAGTACTGGACAGCTGCTGTTTCATCCTAGTTTGGGAATCATCGGCAGTACGCACCCACTGGGTTTCGAACCCAGGACCTTCCGGTTTCAAGGCAAGCTCGTATACCATTCAGCCACTGGGACCCGATTCAATGGCTCGTAAATTCTAACTTCTACCAATTCGTGATTTAGCGCGACCCCAACCATTGTCGTTGGTGGGACATCCATCCACACACGTGACATCTAATTGGACCTCACTGGTCACGACTTCTCACTAGAACTCAGGAAACTCCAACCTGTAGCAAGTCACTAGCAAGCATCAGAATTGGTAGAAGTTAGAATTTACGAGCCATTGAATCGGGTCCCAGTGGCTGAATGGTATACGAGCTTGCCTTGAAACCGGAAGGTCCTGGGTTCGAAACCCAGTGGGTGCGTACTGCCGATGATTCCCAAACTAGGATGAAACAGCAGCTGTCCAGTACTCCTGGTTTTCAATGGTTCTCTAACTGATATCAATCCGTGATCAACTCGTATAAATTGATGATGAAAACTTAAACTAAAAATTGTAATGCTGCTTTCATTTTGGATGCGTCAATTTTATAGTATCTCTTCTCTACTACCACTCAAACATTAAAGTATGTTATTATCATCTATATAACCACTGTAATTTCAGGTAGACGGAAGCCTTCGAAGTGAGGATGGGAGTGAGACAAGCTGGCTGTCTACTATCGCCAATGATCTTCCTGATTGCAGTAGATTGGATAATGCGACAAATAACGGGCAATGAGGAAACAAACATAAAATGGAATCACACAAAAAACTTGGAGGATCTGGACTTCGCCAGCGATAATATATGTCTGATTTCCCACAAACTGGAAGATATGCAAGTGAGAAGCAACAAGTCGGTAGAAGAAGTATCAAAGTTACGACTTCAAGTGAACATAGATAAAACAGAGGTGATGAAGATTCCTGGCCAACAGCAACAGCAACAACAGCAGACAACAATCAGCCAGCATAAATAGGAGGAACCTGAAACAAACAACCTCCTTCACCTACCTACCTGGGAAGCATCGTTTCAACTACAAGCGGAACTGACGAGGACATCAAAGCCAGAATCGGAAAAGCAAGACAAGCTTTCATTACTCTCAAGTCTGTGTGGAGGTCAACAGCCCCACTCAGCATCAAAAATAAGATCCAGATTTTTAACTCCAATGTGAAGTCAGTGCTACTTACAATACGGATCAGAGACTTGGCTAGCGCGTCATAAAGAGCATCTCAAACAAACTACAGACCTTCATTAACAGTTGTCTTCGCTCAATACTCAAGATCAGATGGCTGGCCAGAAGAGATCAGCGACAGGGATCTCTGGCACTGAGCGAACCAACCCAGCAGGAACCGATTGTGAAACAAATGGGCAGGAAGAAATGGAAATGGATTGGCCATACTCTGAGGGAACCATCAAGTGACATCACCAGACAAGCCATTGCTCAAGTGGAACCCGAAAGGGAAGCGGCGAGTTGGTCGTCAGTGCAAGGGTGACTTGGAGGAGGTCATATGAAGAGGAGATGAAAGCATGTGGGCAGACTTGGAGCGCGGTAAAAAAAATGTTGGCAGAAAACAGAAGGCGATCGAGACGCGCGGTTGAAGCCCTATGTTCCTCTAGGAATTAGAGGATATAATAATAAAAGACGGATTCAGCGAAGAAAATTTTCTTTATCGACGAAATCATCTTCAGAGGCTGTACAGTCGTATTTATACTTAGAAGAATGTATAGTGGTCTATTATTGAATAATAGGGGGTGACATGATTGCTGTAATTAATCATAAGTGGCTTTAGAGGTGAAAATTAAAAGTTGTAAATTACATGGTACTTGACGGAACAAAGATAGAAGTTAGAAAAGGTTAAAATTGCTCCTAAGTGAGAATAAAGTTATTAGAGTGTCAATTTAACAAGTGTGAAGAAGGTGTGAAAATATATGAAATTGATAATAGTGAATTAATTTATTAAAGCAAAAGCAAACTAAAAGTAAA